ACGTTAATAGAGACAGGCCAGACGAACTACCACTAAGCCACCAGGGACGATCTGAAATTTTGGTGAAATTAAAGGCAATAGTAGATTGTTGTGACCTGCTTATCTCATGCGGTGTAGGAGACTATTATGCGGTGAATGGCGGTGAACGCGGTGAAAGAATTCAATATGAAATCAACACAGAATGATTTGCTGGATCTCTTCGGGCCAAGTTCAACATAGCAATATTTTATACTACTTGCAAAGCGATTTCTCACATAGAACTATAAAAAGAGTAAAAAATAGCCAGATTATATAAAGGGGAAAAAATATTGTGAGTCCGCTACAAAATATGAGTTCAACGTGATTTGAACCCAAACGTTAATAGAGACAGGCCAGACGAACTACCACTAAGCCGCCACCAGGGACGATCTGAAATTTTTGTGAAATTAAAGACAATAGTAGATTGTTGTGACCTGCTTATCTCATGCGGTGTAGGAGACTATTATGCGGTGAATGGCGGTGAACGCGGTGAAAGAATTCAATATGAAATCAACACAGAATGATTAGCTGGATCTCTTCGGGCCAAGTTCAACATAGCAATATTTTATACTACTTGCAAAGCGATTTCTCACATAGAACTATAAAAAGAGTAAAAAATAGCCAGATTATATAAAGGGGAAAAAATATTGTGAGTCCGCTACAAAATATGAGTTCAACGTGATTTGAACCCAAACGTTAATAGAGACAGGCCAGACGAACTACCACTAAGCCACCAGGGACGATCTGAAATTTTTGTGAAATTAAAGACAATAGTAGATTATTGTGACCTGCTTATCTCATGCGGTGTAGGAGACTATTATGCGGTGAATGGCGGTGAACGCGGTGAAAGAATTCAATATGAAATCAACACAGAATGATTAGCTGGATCTCTTCGGGCCAAGTTCAAAATAGCAATATTTTATACTACTTGCAAAGCGTTTTCTCACATAGAAGTATAAAAAGTATAAAAAATAGCAAGAATAAATAAAGGAAAAAAAATATTGAGAGTCCGCTACAAAATATGAGTTCAACGGGATTTGAACCCAAACGTTAATAGAGACAGGCCAGATCTTTTTTTAAGACGATTTAAAGCCCGGTGAATTTCGGTGAAATGAGCCGGTGCCTTGTGTCAAATTCGATTTAAAATATCCGTAATGAAAAAAAGATTAAGACCACTTAGTTCAGTTGTGGTTAGTTTACAACTCCGATATTCGAAATTACGTTTTTATCTTTTTTTTTCTAAAATATTAACCCAGGACGAAAGCGAACGGTAGATTCCTACTTATTCTTTCCTAATGAACATATTTAAACTATTTTAAGACGATTTAACGCCCGGTGAATTTCGGTGAAATGAGCCGGTGCCTTGTGTCAAATTCGATCCGGACTGATTCTCCATATAAATTATTAAAATATGCGTAATGAACAAAATATTAAGAGCACTTAGTTCAGTTGTGGTTAGTTTGCAACTCCAAACTGTTGGTCCAGTGGTAATAATTACAGGTTTCGCCCTGGACGAATTTTTTCCTATATGATTGAGCGATATTTGAAATTACGTTTTTATCTTTTTTCTCTAAAATATTCACCCAGGACGAAAGCGAACGGTAGATTCCTACTTATTCTTTCCTAATGAACATATTTAAACTATTTTCAGACGATTTAACGCCCGGTGAATTTCGGTGAAATGAGCCGGTTCCTTGTGTCAAATTCGATCCCGACTGATTCTCCATTTAAAATATGCGTAATGAACAAAAGATTAAGACCACTTAGTTCAGTTGTGGTGAATTTCGGTGAAATGAGCCTGTGCCTTGTGTCAAATTCTGGACTGATTCTCCATTTAAAATATGCGTAATGAACGAAAGATTAAGACCACTTAGTTCAGTTGTGGTTAGTTTACAACTCCGAACTCTTGGTCTAGTGGTAATGATTACAGGTTTCGCCCTGGACATTTTTTTTCGTATATCATTGAGCGATATTCGAAATTACGTTTTTATCTTTTTTTCCTAAAATATTAACCCAGGACGAAAGCCTACGGTAGATTCCTACATATTCTTCCCTAATGAACATATTTAAATAATTTTACGACGATTTAAAGCCCGGTGAATTTCGGTGAAATGAGCCGGTGCCTTGTGTCAAATTCGATCCGGACTGATTCTCCATTTAAAATACGCGTAATGAATAAAATATTAAGGGTACTTAGTTCAGTTGTGGTTAGTTTACAACTCCGAACTCTTGGTCTAGTGGTAATGATTACAGGTTTCGCCCTGGACAAATTTTTTCCTATATGATTGAGCTATATTTGAAATTACGTTTTTATCTTTTTTCTCTAAAATATTCACCCAGGACGAAAGCGAACGGTAGATTCCTACTTATTCTTTCCTAATGAACATATTTAAACTATTTTAAGACGATTTAACGCCCGGTGAATTTCGGTGAAATGAGCCGGTGCCTTGTGTCAAATTCGATCCGGACTGATTCTCCATATAAATTATTAAAATATGCGTAATGAACAAAATATTAAGAGCACTTAGTTCAGTTGTGGTTAGTTTGCAACTCCAAACTGTTGGTCCAGTGGTAATAATTACAGGTTTCGCCCTGGACGAATTTTTTCCTATATGATTGAGCGATATTTGAAATTACGTTTTTATCTTTTTTCTCTAAAATATTCACCCAGGACGAAAGCGAACGGTAGATTCCTACTTATTCTTTCCTAATGAACATATTTAAACTATTTTCAGACGATTTAACGCCCGGTGAATTTCGGTGAAATGAGCCGGTTCCTTGTGTCAAATTCGATCCCGACTGATTCTCCATTTAAAATATGCGTAATGAACAAAAGATTAAGACCACTTAGTTCAGTTGTGGTGAATTTCGGTGAAATGAGCCTGTGCCTTGTGTCAAATTCTGGACTGATTCTCCATTTAAAATATGCGTAATGAACAAAAGATTAAGACCACTTAGTTCAGTTGTGGTTAGTTTACAACTCCGAACTCTTGGTCTAGTGGTAATGATTACAGGTTTCGCCCGGGACAATTTTTTTCGTATATCATTGAGCGATATTCGAAATTACGTTTTTATCTTTTTTTCCTAAAATATTAACCCAGGACGAAAGCCTACGGTAGATTCCTACATATTCTTCCCTAATGAACATATTTAAATAATTTTAAGACGATTTAAAGCCCGGTGAATTTCGGTGAAATGAGCCGGTGCCTTGTGTCAAATTCGATCCGGACTGATTCTCCATTTAAAATACGCGTAATGAATAAAATATTAAGGGTACTTAGTTCAGTTGTGGTTAGTTTACAACTCCGAACTCTTGGTCTAGTGGTAATGATTACAGGTTTCGCCCTGGACAAATTTTTTCCTATATGATTGAGCTATATTTGAAATTACGTTTTTATCTTTTTTCTCTAAAATATTCACCCAGGACGAAAGCGAACGGTAGATTCCTCCTTATTCTTTCCTAATGAACATATTTAAACTATTTTCAGACGTTTTAACGCGCGGTGAATTTCGGTGAAATGAGCCGGTGCCTTGTGTCAAATTCAATCCGGACTGATTCTCCATTTAAAATATGCGTAATGAACAAAATATTAAGCCGTACTTAGTTCAGTTGTGGTTAGTTTACAACTACGAACTCTTGGTCTAGTGGTAATAACTACAGGTTTCGCCCTGGACAATTTTTTTCCTATATCATTGAGCGATATTCGAAATTACGTTTTTATCTTTTTTTTCTAAAATATTAACCCAGGACGAAAGCAAACGGTAGATTCCTACTTATTCTTTCCTAAAGAACATATTTAAACTATTTTAAGACTATTTAACGCCCGGTGAATTTCGGTGAAATGAGCCGGTGCCTTGTGTCAAATTCGATCCGGACTGATTCTCCATATAAATTATTAAGATATGCGTAATGAACAAAATATTAAGAGCACTTAGTTCAGTTGTGGTTAGTTTGCAACTCCAAACTGTTGGTCCAGTGGTAATAATTACAGGTTTCGCCCTGGACGAATTTTTTCCTATATGATTGAGCGATATTTGAAATTACGTTTTTATCTTTTTTCTCTAAAATATTCACCCAGGACGAAAGCGAACGGTAGATTCCTACTTATTCTTTCCTAATGAACATATTTAAATTATTTTCAGACGATTTAACGCCCGGTGAATTTCGGTGAAATGAGCCGGTGCCTTGTGTCAAATTCGATCCCGACTGATTCTCCATTTAAAATATGCGTAATGAACAAAAGATTAAGACCACTTAGTTCAGTTGTGGTTTGTTTGCAACTCCAAACTCGTGGTCTAGTGGTAATAACTACAGGTTTCGCCCTGGACAAATTTTTCCTTTATCATTGAGCGATATTTAAAATTACGTTTTTATCTTTTTTTCCTAAAATATTAACCCAGGACGAAAGCCAACGGTAGATTCCTACATATTCTTCCCTAATGAACATATTTAAATAATTTTAAGACGATTTAAAGCCCGGTGAATTTCGGTGAAATGAGCCGGTGCCTTGTGTCAAATTCTGGACTGATTCTCCATTTAAAATATGCGTAATGAACAAAAGATTAAGACCACTTAGTTCAGTTGTGGTTAGTTTACAACTACGAACTCTTGGCCTAGTGATAATGATTACAGGTTTCGCCCTGGACAATTTTTTTCGTATATCATTGAGCGATATTCGAAATTACGTTTTTATCTTTTTTTTTCTAAAATATTAACCCTGGACGAATTAAGCCAACGGTAGATTTCTACATATTCTTCCCTAATGAACATATTTAAATAATTTTAAGACGATTTAAAGCCCGGTGAATTTCGGTGAAATGAGCCGGTGCCTTGTATCAAATTCGATCCGGACTGATTCTCCATTTAAAATATGCGTAATGAACGAAAGATTAAGACCACTTAGTTCAGTTGTGGTTAGTTTACAACTCCGAACTCTTGGTCTAGTGGTAATGATTACAGGTTTCGCCCTGGACAAATTTTTTCCTTTATCATTGAGCGATATTTAAAATTACGTTTTTATCTTTTTTTCCCTAAAATAGTAACCCAGGACGAAAGCCAACGGTGGATTCCTACTTATTCTTCCCTAATGGACATATTTAAACTGTTTTAAAACGATTCAAAGCCCGGTGAATTCCGGCGTAATGGGCCGGTGCCTTGTGTGAAATTTTCTCTATTTACACCTGATTCCATGAGACATGAAATCGTCAAATATTTTCCAAATATTTCTTAGTGTTAAAATATAAAAATATTGTTCGGCGAGAATCGATCCATCACTCATTTGACGCCTGTTGACGTCGGTAGTTTTGACCACTGGAGCACCAACCTCGCTAGCCAGGGTCTTTTACCTGCGCTCGAGCACATGTTCAAGATACCGAACTTATTATAGCTAAGCTAGTGGTCTTAATCCTTTATTGGGTGAGAAAATTTTGAAATACGTTTTATGCTTTTTCTCCATAAATATTCACACAGGATGAAAGCCAACGGTATATTGTTACTTATTTTATCCCATTTAACACGTTTTAACAATTTATAGAGGATTTAAAGCCCGGTGAAATTCGATGAAATGAGCTGGTGCCTTGTGTTAGAAATTTTCTCCATTTGCACCCGATTCCATCGGACTTTAAATTGTCTATATAAATAGCTTATATGTGTTCAATGAGGAGTATTCATCCTGGGAGAATTTTAAAAATAAAAGTGAGTAAAGTAGATAAGATTATGTTATGTTGTAGGCGATCAATAGGTTAACTTTCTGGTACAATGTGGAAAATTTCTGAAATTCCACTTGTTCCTCGGTAGGCTTTTTTACTACTCTATTTAAACACCAGGTCAGTGAGTGTTGAACGCTCGTGCACTCGTATAGCAAACGGTGAACTCCAGTTGCTCTGGCCAATAATATTAATAGCAGCGACGCGAAATTGTACGCGATTTTCCAGTTTATTTATCTGTTTCTCTGACTTGCATTTGACATCACGGAGAACCTTGCCATCTTCGGTGTTCAGTAACACCGTAGTCGAACTTCCTTTGTAAACAAGCACAAACCCATTGTCTTCCCCTGATATGGAAAATATAGGAAAAAATTAGAAAATAGAACAAGTTTATTGGACCGCTGCAGAACAGTTTAGAACAAACGTTGTATTGCACATGGAAAAATAAAGTTAGTTTAGGTTTCCTCCTGTAGTAACACTAGATCAATAAGACATGATCCTTACTAGACCTCTAGGGAGAACAGTTTTAGTGCAAATATCTAGTATAAATAAAGTTAGTTATATAAACATCGTTCAGCCCGAATTCTTACCTGTGTTACTCTGTAGGATGTATTCTTGTACTGGATATACGAATGGATTTGTTGGAGGAGGACTCCATTGGATTGATATGATCCTTGGCTCAGTCAGTTTACAAAATAACTGAAGAGGTGCATCTGGGACTGAAAGGCAATTGTAGTCGGGTTTTGGAAAATCATATAAGGTAAGATATGGTACGGTACGGTATGGTATGGTTTGGATCAAAATGCGACGACTTGAAATGTAGTCCAGTAAGGAATTATATTATATTATATTGTATCAGTGCATTTTTTCACTTACCTGTAACAATTTTCGCGCATGTTCTCAGTTCGTTAAGTAATGTTTCATGATTGGGAAACTGACATTGCAGTTTGGGGGATGCGCATGGCGCAGTTTTACATTCCATCTGAAGAACATTCTTCACATCATTCTCAACTTCTTTTTTCACGTCCATCAGGTCAAAATAATCCAGGCTTAAAATTTCGTCACATCGTCGACTGGCGGTCTTGGCGCGGCTTGATATATCGATCATCGAACTGAAAATAAGATATTTGGTTAGGGAGGCGTTCGGGAGTAGTAATTATTTTGCGGGGAAATGGGACAAGTGTTTGACAATGAAATGCGAATTTTTTCTACTTGAAATAAAATAGCGCATAAAATGTTGAACAAAATCTCTTACTATAATGCACATTTTAATCGTGCGCAAAACATGTAAATGAGGCCATTGGCGCAAAGTGTACCACTATAGTACTACTCACCTCAGTTGTTCGTTAAGTGATCTTAAGGTGGCTTTATTCCGTTTCCCAGCTTCCTCCAAAATAATTTTCTCGCCATGTTCAATTGCCATTCTCAACTCACGAAAATATCTCCTGACAATGTCTTGGACTTTCACGTCATTTCTTTTCGTTTCTTCGATCGCCTTTTGTACATCGCTTCGAGATTTGATATATTTCTCACCGTATTCGTCTACTTTCTGCTGAAGTCGACACAAGCTTCGTTTGTCGAGGTCTTCTGCTTCGTGGATGTGCAGTATTTTGTGATTCTTGTGACGTCCCTCGATTTGACAGAAAGTACAGCACACCATCTTGCATTCACTGCAGTAGAGTTTTAATTTTTCACTGTGTTCCTCACATTCTAACGAAAATATATTAAGACACTATAGTTAACGCCTGTTATGAAAATGTTCGTCCAACAAATCAGGAATGTTGAACGATTTTCGATGAAATTGTGAACAAAAACCTACACATACTACCCATAACCATCCAAGTTGAATGGTTATGCCAAACATATTCAACGTCATAAACATCTAAGTTTAGGCTACGAACAACGAGCAAGTGGTCTAGTGGTAAAGACTACAGGTTGTGTAATGTACCATTGTGGTTCAAGTCCTACAAAAGTCATTTTGTGATTCGAAAATGGTTGAATTTTAATTATACAATCTAGAGAAAAAGGTTAAGGTGAATAAGTTGCGATAGGCTACAGATAACGAGCAAGTGGTCTTGTGGTAAAGGCTAGAGGTTCTAATGTACCATTGTGGTTCAAGTCCTACAGAAGTCATTTTGTGATGATTTGAAAATGGTTGAATTTTAATTATACAATCTAGAGAAAAAGGTTAAGGTGAATAAATTGCGATAGGCTACAGACAACGAGCAAGTGGTCTAGTGGTAAAGACTAGAGGTTCTAATGTACCATTGTGGTTCAAGTCCTACAGAAGTCATTTTGTGATGATTTGAAAATGGTTGAATTTTAATTATACAATTTAGAGAAAAAGGTTAAGGTGAATAAGTTGCGGTAGGCTACCGACAACGAGCAAGTGGTCTAGTGGTAAAGACTACAGGTTGTGTAATGTACCATTGTGGTTCAAATCCTACGGAAGTCATTTTGTGATTCTAAAATGGTTGAATTTTAATTATACAATCTAGAGAAAAAGGTTAAGGTGAATAAGTTGCGATAAGCTACAGACAACGCGCAAGTGGTCTTGTGGTAAAGACTACAGGTTGTAATGTACCATTGTGGTTCAAGTCCTACCGAAGTCTTTTTGTGATTCGACTGACGGTTGAATATTAATTACCATAGGCGTACCAGGCGTACCGGGCGGGGGGGGGGGGCGGTAGCCCCCCCAGCTTTTTGGGCAGTCGGGCAATATTCGATTAACAGTCGGGCAATTTTGGGTTGTTATAAAAAAAAATCGGACAAATTCTGTCATTTTTTTCAAAAATTTAGTCAATTTTGTGGTAAATGTAGTTTTTTGGAAAATTTATGTGATGCTCCGAAAAATTTTGGTCCGTCCGGAAAATTTTTTTGACCCCTTAAATGGTACACTGACCGAAATTTTTTTTTGGGGGGGGGGAGGTCGCCAAAAAAAATTTTCCGGGAAAAAATTTTTGGTACTAGTCGGGCAAAATCACGAAAAGTCGGGCAATTTTCTTTCCGCCCCCCTAATTTTTTCCTTCCGGTACGCCCATGTTAATTACACAAGCTAGGGAAAAAAGATTAAGGTGAATAAGTTGCGATAGGCTTCCAACAATGAGCAAGGGGTCCAGTGGGGTCAAGTTATTTTTATACGTTTATTAGTTGATGGTAAGCCAGCTCATACCTGGTAATGCATCCAAAGAACTGTTATATCTCCTTAAAGCTGGCCTTCCCGATCCATTCCTTGGCAAAGCACTCCTAGGACGTCCCGGCTTCACGTCGTTCCCGTTAATATCATTTTCCGCAATTGCTAGACATATATTATGCGTCCGAAACTCGACTTGTTTATGAATCTCATCAGAACACAGGCCACAAAACAGGACACCACAATCTCGGCAGTTTAGGGTCACAGTTCGTGGAGGGTAGACCAGTTTTCTGATGCAAAAATTGCAGAGTTCCTGCTCGGCTTCGTTCGTTTCCATGGCGGCCATCAACAGATCATAGTTTTTCTGCAAACCTAACACGCCGTTCAGAGGCAATAACGAACGCACTTTGCATCGCGGGCATTCTAAGACATCGCCTTGGTATTCTTCCAGTTTTAACAAACAACCTTGGATAAATATAATAGATATAGACTAACTAACTGTGTTTATACTGGATAGCTCTATCAATTCTAAACTGCTCTTCTTAGTGATCCAGTATAAGGATCATCTTGTATTGATCCAGTGTTACTACAGGAGGAAATTAAACCTAAACTAACTTTATTTATACTGGATAGTTCTATCAGTTCTAAGCTGTTCTTCCTAGAGGTCCAGTAAGGACCATCTCTTATTGTTCCAGTGTTACTACAGGAGGAAACCTAAACTAAACTAACTGTATTTATACTGGATAGCTCTATCAGTTCTAAACTGTTCTTCCTATAGAGGTCCAGTAAGGATCATCTCTTATTGATCCAGTGTTACTACAGGAGGAACCTAAACTGAACTAACTTTATTTGTACTGGATAGCTCTAAATAGTTCTAAACTGTTCTTCCTAGAGGTCCAGTAAGGATCGCCTCTTATTGATCTAGTGTTACTACAGGATGAAACATAAACTATATAAACTAACTTGATTTACACTGGATAGCTCTATCAGTTCTAAACTGTTCTTCCTAGAGGTTCATTAAGGATGAATTAATCTCTTATTGATCCAGTGTTACTACAGGAGGAAACCTAAGCTAACTTTATTTATACTGAATAGCTCTATCCCTTATTGATATATATTGTCCCTAAGCATAAATATGCACTTAAAAAAAGAGTTTATTGAATTACACAATTGCCAAGGCTTAAAGTCCTTAAACAATATATGCATCAAATTTTTAACAAATCATTAAGAAATTACCAAACACTAATAATAAAAACATCATTAAAGATAGCAAAGGCACCGAATATCTAAAATAATACAAAGGTATAAGGCTACATTTGAACGGAAGGAATTCGAAATCATACTAAATTCGAACGAATTCGCCCGTCTCGTTCACAGCGACGAAATGAGAAATTGAAGTAACCCTACTAATTCCTCGTTGGAACATGAAATGGAACCGCGGTACGGACTCGTCTGACCTCGTACACGCGTAGTCTAACAAATCTTAATACTTCATAAAAACACAGATACCTGTACAATACGAATGAGCGCAGTTGAGATTCCTTGGAATAAATTCCGGTCGTTTCGAAGTGAATTTCGTAAAACAGATTAAGCAATATAAATCCCTTCTCGCTGTCACGGCGTCCTTGCTCATTCTTAATGATTTTCGCCAAACAAAACTTAATACTTTAATTCCCTTTTAAAAGCTGTAACTTTCGAATGCAAATTTCGAAGTCACAACAAACCAAATTATTGAAATGACCCGTTTGTTTTCAAACATCGCACCATGGTAACATCATTAAAATGTCAATAAAGTGCAATTTGATACCAAGCAAAGTCTGCCAACAAGCCGTCATCAAGTTGTGTTCGCACTGCTTGTCCCAAGTTGTCAACAAGTTCGGAACAAGCTGTTAAGAACTTGTAACAACCTTGTTGATATTATCAGACATGTTGCAAGGTTGTTCCAACAAGTCCGATACATTCGTGATATAACAATATTGTTACAACCTTGTGTCGTCAACCTTGTAACATTCTTGTTATATCATGATTGTATCAGACTTGTCAGAATAACCTTGTAACAAGTCTGATAATGCCATCAAGCTTGTTACAAGTTGTTAACAGCTTGATCCAAACTTGCTACAACACCCGGGGACATGCAGTTCGAACACAACTTGTTGACAGCTTGTGAACAGCTTTGCAACAACTTTTTTGCAGACCTGTAACAACTTGTGCGTTTTTATACAATCTTCTCAGAACAGACAGACAAACAGACCATTGTGAACAGACCATTATAGCTCAGTGGAACAGACAAACAGACATAGAAACAGACAGCTTGGAATAACTTCGGATTTTTCCGACGTTTGCCCGAAGAGCAAAGTCTTCTTTCGACCGATGGAAAATACAACAAGTTCATCTTGAGAAAATCGTGCTTTAGTTGTAGTGAAATAAAACTTTAAATTTTTGTTCCTTTTATAATGTCTGGCGAGGAGAAATTATTGTGTTATAATCGTGGTTGTGCCAAGCAATATGTGGAAAGCGAAAATAGCGAGGGTAAGGGTTAAATTTGGTAATATTTTTGAAAATTTATAACCATTTTATACATTTTATTATTCTCCAATCTCCACTAGATGTGTGTATCCATCATCCTGGCATGCCTGTCTTTCACGATGCTTTGAAGGTATTCACCAAAAATTGTTCTTTAACCCATTAGTCCATTTATTAAAGGTCAACACTCTCCCCAAGATGAGTAAAATTGTCTGGCATTAGACAGAGTCAATATAAATCCAAATGTCAAAAGTGTGTATCACTATAAAAACGAGAGAGATCATGAGTTTACTTGATTTATGTGAGAGATGATCTGTTGAATTATTTTCCTCAAATTTCTCTTCCAGGGTTGGTCATGTTGTCAAAGAAGAGTCACAGACTTCACAGAATTTCTAAACATAACTGTAAGCTTTGGATTTTTAAAATATATTAGTGGCAGAAACGGTATCTGGTTGTTCTGCCCCCTTGCCATTTTGTCCCAGGTCATTTCATCCCCTTTAGGGTTTCGTCCCCTTTACATTTCATCCCCACACTAGATAACATTTTCTCTATAAACTATTTATCTTACTTTTTCATAACTGTATGACTCAGTGATGAAACAGAGAGGGGACAACATATCAAGGGGACAAAATGACCATAAAACGGCAGACTGAAACACTTATGTGAAAAGAGTCTGGGAAGAGACCAGTTTCTATTACTGTACGTGCGCTGTTCGCTTTGCCAGTGCAGGCAAAGCAGGCTCTACAGTATGAGCATGCATATGTGTTATAAAGTTATGGCGTGACTGTGAACGGCTCGCTTGTGATGCCCTGCACGCTTTGAAAGCTGAATAAAATTCAACTTTCAAAGCATACACACATGACCAAATGCTCAATACTGTCCGCTTTGCTCATGCGATCGAGCAAAGCGGATATAATGAAAACTGGCCGCTTAATTAATTAAGCAGTTACTTTAATTTATTTAGAACTAATTTTACTGCATGTACTTTGATCAGGGATGCCGCAAATCAAAACATTCCAATATGAAGCCAGCAGAGCCGGAAGTGAAACCCTCAAACCCTGTAGAAGTAAGTAGATTCAGCAAGTAAAGAAAGTGACATACTCTACTTACAAAGTGACATACTCCACTTTCCAGAAGGGCGTATTGATATTGAAGAATTTTAATTTTGAACTGTTTAGATCACAAGCCATGGTCAGACAACCCATAGAAAAGCTGTCGAAAAAGTACAAGAACCTCGACCTAGGTACAACATTTTTACTACAATGTAGTTTTATTCACAAACTAACTGGCTATCATGACTTTATGTACTAACTGACTTACTAATCAAGTAATTAATTATCCTGGTTACTGATTAAATATACTAATTTGTAAACATACACTACCGGTACCCTTATTTATGTTGAACACATTTCTTGTTCTAGTGATGATCTGCCATATCAAAGACTAAAATTTAGCATCTCAGATTCCCTTAAGAAAGCTCTAGAGAAACACAAGCAGTCTAGAACCACAAATGATGGTATGTTCCAATAAAGTGTAATTGTTTTGGGAAAACAAAATATTTATGGTTTTCAAAATTAAAATTTTGCCAGAAAAATTTTCCATTGGTTTCGGAAGTGACCAAGAACATTTTCTTTCATCAAAACAATGATTTTCAACTCATAAAAAATTTTTCTGAAAGGTTTGGAAAATTTTCCTCCAATGGTTCCCCATTTCTTCCAGCGGGTAAAATGTTATTATTTTGTATTTTCAGAAAATACTGATCCTGGAGTAGTACAAAAAGGAACAACATGTAAAAATAATGCTTGTAATGGGGTAAGTTCAATAACACCTTAAATTAAACAAGCTGATTCGTGGTTGAAGCTTGTCTTGTCAGCTCTGAGACTCAGATTGTGAATTGTTGTGACACTTACTGTATGTGAAAAGTGTCGGTCAATGTTCTACCAAACGTTGTGAGTTTTCTCTGAGTATTCCAGTTTCTTCCTACAGGGTCGGAGTTAGCCCCAAAGTTTGGATAGCCCCTAAGTGACACTGTAGTTGTGTTCTGTGACCAGATCTGCCAGAGGATAGGATGTTTTAGTGAGGATTCCTTAGCAAACCATATGATCTCTGCTGTTTATTTCAGTGGAAACCATGTTGTAGATATTGTATCTTTGTTTAGGTGTATGTAGATGAGGAATCTAACAAACAAGCTTGTCAATATCATCCTGGAAACCCCATCTTTCATGAAGGGTGAGTTTGTATTTGTAGGACATTCATTTTCACTCTGTACAAAATATAGATGCTAGACGCTACCACACATTCTTTGTTGACTGTTCGTTGCTTGGGAATTATAATCAATTTTTGCTTCAGGTACAAATTTTGGAGCTGTTGTCTTCGAAGAACTTGTGATTTTGATGAATTTTTGAAACAAGAAGGATGTTCTAGTGGCTCTCATCTTTGGTTTTTAACAGATGAAGTGAGACATTATAATTATCTTTGACCATAAAAACACCCTAACTCGGGCTTTCAAAGCACTGAAAGGATAGCATAGCTGACAGGTTTATACTGTCAAATTGTGTTCTGTGATCACACTAGGAATTTTACATGGTGACATTTCTTACAAATCTTTCTGCTTAATATATTTCTTTCTTTTTCAGCAAAAGAAGAAAGCTGTTACATGCAGGTACAATACTGTTAGTTTTGTTTCAATTAATTTGAACCAAAGGCCTGTTCTAATATGCAACAAAAACCCTTGGTACTATATGTGAAGTCAGCATTATTTTATACAGAAATAAGTATTTATACTGATTGGTATCGAACTGATACTTAAATTCAAAAACATTCCTATTGTTCTTATACAGATTTGATCATTATCAAATGGGTTCATCTGTCATCATATCAGTTTATGCCAAACTTTGTGATCCGGAAAAATCTTTTGTAGAAGCAAATTGTACTTGTGTAAGTATATTATTAATAACTGCTATATTGCCACAATCTAATTACTTGAAACTTCAATGTGTTAAGCAAGTGCCATTCATCATATCAACACAGCATGTTCCTTTCCGGATCTAGATTAGGTTTCCTCCTGTAGTAACACTGGATCAATAAGAGATGATCCTTACTGGGCCTCTAGGAAGAACAGTTTAGAACTGATAGAGCTATCCAGTATAAATAAAGTTAGTTTAGTTTAGGTTTCCTCCTGTAGTAACACTGGATCAATAAGAGATGGTCCTTACTGGACCTCTAGTAGATCAGATTAGAGATGTCAAACGAAGATATTGATTCAGTCCAGATGAACAGTCGTGTAATGGTTTTCCATCTTTTTTTAATTTTTGTAGTTACGTGCTGGTCTCGTTTTTGGAAATTCATCGAAATTTGATTTAGACATAAAACTACACGGGGTAAGTTAATGAGCTTTGGTGTACGATTTTGCCCAAATGCCTTTCATACGACTTTACAATGTTCTCTTTCTTTCATGTACCTTACAATGTTTATATACAATTGTATGTATAGATCAATAAGAGATGATCCTTACCAGACCTCTAGTGAGAACAATTTACACTGAGAGCATCCAGACAGAGCTATCCAACATAAATATAAGGTTTAGTTTAGGTTTCCCTTTGTAGTAACACTGGATAAATAAAATCTTTTTCTCTTACATCTGCAGGTCATTTATCCAGACAAAAGCGTAGTCACATATTCAGCAACGAAGGTGGAAATCAAACTTAAAAAGAAAGAAGCTTCAAACTGGCCTCGCCTTGAACTTCAATCACCAAACAGCTGAGGTTGGATTCAGTACATTTGCTTTGTAAAATGCTTTATGATAGAGACAAGTAATAAATACTTTTACGTTTTGAATTTACTTTTTCTCCAATTTTTTGAAAACATGGCAAGAAATGACTGAAATATTAAGGTTCACATTTCGGCCACAATTTTCAAAAATTTAAAAAGTAAAGGATAATATATCCCCTTACAGTAATTAGTATTTGAGTCATTTTTTGCCACTTTTTCAATTTTTGAAAAAATTACTAAGAATAGCATGAAACTAGAAAACCTGGATAGTTCTACCATTTCTGAACATTTTGTCCTATATAGCTCCAGATATTTACCTAACGAGAATACATGAACTTTAACTTTATTCATGCTGGATAGTTCCATCAGTTGTAATTTTTTTTTAATAAAAAAATTGATGAAAAGTGATAAATTGTGTTTGTCATTGATGCCCAACAAAATAAAGCCGACACAGTTGTTGTCAACTTGATATTTTGCAATACATGCTTCCGGAAACTATGTAACTTTGTCTATAGAGCCTCGTTTTTGTGTATCTGACATGAGTGAAAGGCCACGTCTCAATCACGAAAATGAAGCTTTTTATTGTGTACTGTATTGTGCTAAAACTCTCCTTTTCATTGTATTCAAGTTGGACAGCACATAGACTGAATTCAGAATATAAATAAGATTACATTTTTTTTGAAAGTCCATCTTTATACCCATGTGACAACACATACCCATTTCCCATTACATTTACTATTGTCCCTTATTGTTCATTTTTGTCAACCATTATCCATTGGCATCAACTAATGTCACATTACATTAAAAATTACTCCTATACATTAAAAACTATCCTATACTCAGAATTATTGCATGGTTGACAATTGCAACTCTCGCTCACATTTGAATGCCAACTCTCATTGCCTCTAAACAATCTTGAGTTGGTTTAAATTTTGACTAAGGTCTTTGCCCCATGCTCGGTAATATCTAACCATCTCTCATACAATTCTTGTTGTCCTTTGGTGACAGTTGAGAAAACTCTCAGGCAACACAACTTTCAAATTAACTCATTCTTGTTCCATCAGTTTAGACTTGGCAGACTAGTGCGAGTTTCATGAAGGTGTTTTGATGAAATCTGGTTGTAACTCTGAGGAAAGATGCTGCAAATTGGGAATTAAACAACAGCATTGATGGTTACTAGCTGTAATGGTGTTATCAACTACGCTAACAACTCGGGTGTAGGTTATTGAAAGAAGCGTCAGGGCCAAGTCACAGTGATTCTTTTAAACTTCTTTGGCATGTCCTGTTTGTCTCTCTCTTGAATGCTTTGTGAGCTGTTCTTGTTTGATATCTGGATGAAAACATTAATAAACGTTATGTACAAGATATAATTGCCTGAAATTACAAACACAACTTCAGTTTTTGGAGCTACAACTACAGAAGAATAATCTATTGGGGACCACCATCAACAGAGCATAATTATATTACTACCAGGAACAATAAGCAACAACTACATACAGAAGAATAATCTATTGGGGACCACCATCAATAGAGCATAATTATATTACTACCAGGATCTTGGAAATCGACAGCGTTGCCGGGATCAGTTGAATAATAACAAATTAATAACTGATCATCTCTTCAATTTCAAAAATGAAAGCAACACAATGAAACCTTTTGAGAACTGTCACTAACCTTTGAACATTCACGTTTTGTTGTTTCCGAAACTTTGCTTTGTCTTGCGTAATTTACAATCTTCGACTTTGTTACAGAATTATTTTGTTTGGGATCATGTAGTAAACAATCTCTGTTTAATTTGAGAGGTTTCGACATTTGACAGTTCATACGCAAGCTTATTATTTTATTGGCACATTCTGTCGTTGGACTGATGCTCGACTGCTTGTCATGTGAAATGTTGCAATCTTCTTTGGTTGGCACTGTTTGATCTGTATCTGATGAGTTGCTCTTTCTATAACCAAAAACTATCAGATAAGGACTGTCCATTACACTTAAACTGCGATTAATGCCAAATATGATTTTTGGTATGTGTAATAGTTGGGTGATTTTAAGAAGAAATGTAAGATATCTTTATAGTAAAAACATACATCTTAATAAACTTTTTGACTCTAAACGTTCCTGTTGTGATGTCATTTGGGGAATTGCAAATTAGTTTTCTCTTGTTTTCGGCGCCTGAAATTCCTCAAATGACATCATATTGAGAGCCGATTCAGCCAAAAAGAAAATCAAGACAAGCTTCTTTACTATAGAGATAAAATTACATTGAATCTTCTTAGAATAATCCAAATGTTTCGTATGGCAAAAATCATATTTGAGATTAGTAGCATTTTAAAACAACCTGGGCTGTCCTTGGTGCACAAAATACTTCAATATCTGATGAATACCTTGGGGGTAGTGGAGACATATTGATTTTGTCAGATAGTAAAGCATTTGCAGATTTGCTTAGCCCATTTTTTTATACTATGACATACAAAACAACTAAACAAATTCTTGCCTTAGCATGATTTACAAAAGTTGACATACTAAACTGGTAATACAGTTTCCATATAAGCAGCTATAACTGCATACCGTTTAATTCCTCGACAGCTGTATTCCCTGGCACCAGCTGGGCTAGTAACCCTCTTTATTTTGAGTCGATTTGCTCGCCTTGTATTTCTTGTCGTTCTCTGCGGCAGAGGGACAATAAAACGATGAAATAGTTGCACCAACCCATTCTTGTCTTTATCAACAATAGCTTTGTCGGGTATTCCTCGACAAGATAAAATATCTTTAAGTTTTTCTACCGATAATATTTCTGGGTGACTCAAAATGCTACTAGAATTGTCAGCCATATTTGTTTTGCAAAGGACTGATCTCGAAACAAACCTGGATAGTTCCACTGATCTCAAAGCTTGGATAGTTCCACTGATCTCAAACCAAATGCAAGCGTAGGCGAGATGATCTAGTGGTAAGGACGAAGTGTTGCAAGTGCGTAAAGCCAGGATCGATTCCTGGTTGTGCCGAAAGCATTTTAATGTCAGGCATCGTTGTTTATTAATTCCACCCGAGACGAGAAAGAGTTAAGTAGAATAAAAAAGAAGTTGCAGAGAAGTGTAGGCGAGATAGTCTAGTGGTAAGGACGAAGTGTTGCAAGTGCGTAAAGCCAGGATCGATTCCTGGTTGTGCCGAAAGCATTTTAATGTCAGGCATCGTTGTTTATTAATTCCACCCGAGACGAGAAAGAGTTAAGTAGAATAAAAAAGAAGTTGCAGAGAAGTGTGGGCGAGATAGTCTAGTGGTAAGGACGAAGTGTTGCAAGTGCGTGAAGCCAGGATCGATTCCTGGATGTGCCAAAATCATTTTAATGTCAGGCATCGTTGTTTATTAATTCCACCCGAGACGAGAAAGAGTTAAGTAGAATAAAAAAGTAGTTATAGCAAGTGTAGGCGAGATGGTCTAGTGGTAAAGACGAAGTGTTGCAAGTGCGTGAAGTCAGGATCGATTCCTGGTTGTGCCAAAATCATTTTAATGTCAGGCATCGTTGTTTATTAATTCCACCCGAGACGAGAAAGAGTTAAGTAGAATAAAAAAGTAGTTATAGCAAGTGTAGGCGAGATGGTCTAGTGGTAAAGACGAAGTGTTGCAAGTGCGTGAAGCCAGGATCGATTCCTGGTTGTACCGCATAATATTAACTTTCACGTCTTTTTCGATTATGCACCTGGAATAACCTGCTTTGTTTCTTCATAAACTGTCTTCTGATACACGAGCAAGACATCGATAGAAAGCTTATGGACAGTAGATTCTAAAAATGCAATTTTCAAGCCGTGACAAATTCACGTCTTCGCTACAGGGACCTTGAAATTCAATAGAACATCACATTCGAGACTGCCCAAACCCTAACCCTCACTTATAAAATTCTAACTTTATCGTCTTTTTGGATTACACAGCGGCAAAAAAACTGCTTTTTTTCGCCACATCCGGCCTAATGATGCACGAATGAGACATCGACAGAAAGCTTATGGATCGTAGATTCCAGAAATACAACTTTCAGGCTAGCCCAAATTCAAGTCTCTGCTACAAGAGCCTTGAAAGCCAATAGAACATCAGGTCGGAAACCGCATAATATTAACTTTCACATATTTTTCGATTATGCACCTGGAATAACCGGCTTTGTTTCTTCATAAACTGTCTTTTGATACACGAGTAAGGCATTGATAAAAAGCTTATGGACCGTAGATTCTGAAAATACAATTTTGAGACCGTGCCAAATTCACGTCTTCGCTACAGGGACCTTGAAATTCAATAGAACATCACATTCGAGACAGCCCAAACCCTAACCCTCACTTATAAAACTCTAACTTTATCGTCTTTTTCGATTACACAACTGGAAAAACCTTGCTATTTTTCTGCACATCCGGCCTAGTGATTCACGTCTTCGCTACAGGGACATTGAAGTTCAATAGAAGATCACATTCGAGACAGCCCAAACCCTAACCCTCACTTATAAAATTCTACCTTTATCGTCTTTTTCGTTTACACAGCTGGAAAAAACCTGCTTTTTTTCTCCACATCCGGCCTGGTGATGCACAAATGAGACATCGACAGAAAGCTTATGGATCGTAGATTCCAGAAATACAACTTTCAGGCTAGCCCAGATTCAAGTCTCTGCTACAAGAGCCTTGAAAGTCGATAGAACATCAGGTTGGAAAACGCATAATATTAACTTTTACGTCTTTTTCGATTATGCCCCTGGAATAACCTCCTTTGTTTCTTCATAAACTGCCCAAACCCTAACCCTCACATATAAAATTCTAACTTTATCGTCTTTTTCGATTACCCAGCGGCAAAAAACCTGCTTTTTTTCTCCACATCCGGCCTAGTGATGCATGAATGAGGCATCGACAGAAATCTTATGGATCGTAGATTCCAGAAATACAACTTTCAGGCTAGTCCAAATTCAAGTCTCTGCTACAAGTGCCTTGAAAGCCAATAGAACATCAGGTTGGAAACCGCATAATATCAACTTTCACATATTTTTCGATTATGCCCCTGGAATAACCTGCTTTGTTTCTTCATAAACTGTCTTTTGATACACGAGTAAGGCATCGATAGAAGGCTTATGGACCGTAGATTCTGAACATACAATTTCCAGACCGTGCCAAATTCACATCTTCGCTACAGGGACCTTGAAATTCAATAGAACATCACATTCGAGACAGCCCAAACCCTAACCCTCACTTATAAAATTCTAACTTTATCGTCTTTTTCGATTACATAGCTGGAAAAAACCTGCTTTTTTTCTCCACATCCGGCCTAGTGATGCATGAATGAGGCATCGACAGAAATACAACTTTCAGGAAAGCCCAAATTCAAGTCTCTGCTACAAGAGCCTTGAAAGTCGATAGAACATCGGGTTGGAAAACGCATAATATTAACTTTCACGTCTTTTTCGATTATGCCCCTGGAATAACTTGCTTTGTTTCTTCATAAACTGTCTTTTGATACACGAGTAAGGCATCGATAGAAAGGTTATGGACCGTAGATTCTAAAAATATAAATTTCAGACCGTGCCAAATTCACGTCTTCGCTACAGGGACCTTGAAATTCAATAGAACATCACATTCGAGACAGCCCAAACCCTAACCCTCACTTATAAAATTCTAACTTTATCGTCTTTTTCGATTACACAGCTGGAAAGAAAGTGCTTTTTTTCCTCCTGATCCGGCTTAGTGATGCACAAATTAGGCATCAACAGAAAGCGTATGCATCGTAGATTCCAGAAATACAACCTTCAGGCTAGCCCAAATTCAAGTCTCTGCTACAAGAGCCTTGAAATTCGATAGAACATCAGGTTGGAAACCGCATAATATTAACTTTCACGTGTTTTACGATTATGGACCTGGAATAAGCTGCTTTGTTTCCTCATAAACTGTCTTTTGATATACAAGTAAGATATCGATAGAAAGCTTATGTACCGTAGATTCTAAAAATTCAATTTTTAGACCGTGCCAAATTCACCTCTTCGCTACAGGGACCTTGAAATTCAATAGAACATCACATTCGAGACAGCCCAAACCCTAACCCTCACTTATAAAATTCTAACTTTATCGTCTTTTTCGATTACACAGCTGGAAAGAAAGTGTTTTTTTTCCTCCAGATCCGGGCTATTGATGCACAAATTAGGCATCAACAGAAAGCTTACGCATCGTAGATTCCAGAAATACAACCTTCAGGCTAGCCCAAATTCAAGTTTCTGTTACAAGAGCCTTGAAATTCGATAGAATATCAGGTTGGAAACCGCATAATATTAACTTTCACGTGTTTTACGATTATGGACCTGGAATAACCTGCTTTGTTTTCTCATAAACTGTCTTTTGATACACAAGTAAGTTATCGATAGAAAGCTTATGTACCGTAGATTCTAAAAATTCAATTTTTAGACCGTGCCAAATTCACCTGTTCGCTACAGGGACCTTGTAATTCAATAGAACATCACATTCGAGACAGCCCAAACCCTAACCCTCACTTATAAAATTCTAACTTTATCGTCTTTTTCGATTACACAGCTGGAAAGAAAGCGCTTTTGTTCCCCAGATCCGGCCTAGTGATGCACAAATTAAGCATCGACAGAAAGTTTATGCATCTTAGATTCCAGAAATACAACCTTCAGGCAAGCCCAAATTCAAGTCTCTGCTACAAGAGCCTTGAAATTCGATAGAACATCAGGTTGGAAACCGCATACTATTAACTTTCACGTGTTTTACGATTATGGAGCTGGAATAACCTGCTTTGTTTCCTCATAAACTGTCTTTTGATACACAAGTAAGATATCGATAGAAAGCTTATGTACCGTAGATTCTAAAAATTCAATTTTTAGACCGTGCCAAATTCACCTCTTCGCTACAGGCACCTTGAAATTCAATAGAACATCACATTCGAGACAGCCCAAACCCTAACCCTCACTTATAAAATTCTAACTTTATCGTCTTTTTCGATTACCCAGCTGCAAAAAACCTGCTTTTTATCTCCACATCCGGCCTAGCGATGCATGAATGAGGCATCGACAGAAATACAACTTTCAGGAAAGCCCAAATTCAAGTCTCTGCTACAAGAGCCTTGAAAGTCGATAGAACATCGGGTTGGAAAACGCATAATATTAACTTTCACGTCTTTTTCGATTATGCCCCTGGAATAACCTGCTTTGTTTCTTCATAAACTGTCTTTTGATACACGAGTAAGGCATCGATAGAAAGGTTATGGACCGTAGATTCTAAAAATATAAATTTCAGACCGTGCCAAATTCACGTCTTCGCTACAGGGACCTTGAAATTCAATAGAACATCACATTCGAGACAGCCCAAACCCTAACCCTCACTTATAAAATTCTAACTTTATCGTCTTTTTCGATTACACAGCTGGAAAGAAAGTGCTTTTTTTCTCCTGATCCGGCTTAGTGATGCACAAATTTGGCATCGACAGAAAGCTTATGCATCGTAGATTGCAGAAATACAACCTTCAGGCTAGCCCAAATTCAAGTTTCTGCTACAAGAGCCTTGAAATTCGATAGAACATCAGGTTGGAAACCGCATAATACTAACTTTCACGTGTTTTACGATTATGGACCTGGAATAACCTGCTTTGTTTCCTCATAAACTGTCTTTTGATATACAAGTAAGATATCGATAGAAAGCTTATGTACCGTAGATTCTAAAAATTCAATTTTTAGACCGTGCCAATTTCACCTGTTCGCTACAGGGACCTTGAAATTCAATAGAACATCACATTCGAGACAGCCCAAACCATAACCCTCACTTATAAAATTCTAACTTTATCGTCTTTTTCGATTACACACCTGGAAA